ATCCACTGACGTTTACACTGTGACCACTCCTAACTTTCCCTTTATTTCCTCTTTACTGATAAGCGGAGTTCCTTAAGGCCTAATGGAAGAGTCATCATACATTTCTGTGATACCGTCTTGAATCTAGGTTTACTGTAGAGGAGAAAAAAAGCCTTATATGATGGAAACTTGTAATCTTTACTTGGGCAAAACCTCCCCTTGAAACCAACAGAAAGCACTGTAGACTTAAGTCATGTTTTATCTACGCAGTTCACTTCAGCACATTATAGCTCTGTTAACACTGACTTATACTCTTTAACAGTTGAGCAAAATGGCTCCCTTAAACCTGTAAGTGAGAAATATAAACACACGAATCAGTTTAGTAAAAGAAGCTGTGGGAATATATGTTATCACCTGAAACAATTCTTACAATGGGAACCAATCTGTGAAATATGGATCCTCATTGTATACTGGGCTTTTTGCTGGCTAGTGGACTCAGTGACACATGCTTCCTAGTACCTGGTCATGACAGGGTGAGTTTTCAGCAGTAGTTAGGTCAGTTTGGTTCTGTTCATGTCCATAATCTTTCTTACTGAATAGCAGAGAGCTTCAAAGTCATGCCACTTATAAACACTGTCAGAAATTCCTTAAGGACTACTGAAGTAATTAAGCAATTCAAAGAAAGTCTGTGAAGCTCCCGTGTCAAACACTGAGTTCTGCCACCTTACTGATTAGAATGAAAAAACAAAACAAAACGAAACGAAAAACAATTTCTATATGATTGTGCATGCCTATTTAGTGTGGTAAAATACAAATCACTTGGTCCTTATACAGAGAAGGACCAAGTCTGCCCTTAATGTGCATTTCGGATCTCTTTTCCGCTTGTGCTTATTCTTCCATAATTTTGCTAAAGACTGAAAAACTTTGTACCATTCATAATGAAACTCTGCTTTAAGGTGAAAAGTAGCTCTCAGGCAGAAAATAGAATAAAATGAGACACAGTAAGGAGAAAATCATTTGTAGAAGCATATGGACAGCTATCATCCATGGAGAGCTGTAATGTCATGGGAAAATAACTTCAGAAGTTCTCAATGTTGATTAACTCTGTTTCCACAGAAGACAATGCTAAGCACTTTTGAGCTGTCACAAAATAAAAATACTGCAACCTATAAAGATGCAGCTTGGTATATGGCTGCTTATAGTGGTGTATAAAAGGAAAAGAACACAAGAGAGAAGGCTATGTAAGAAGGATGGGTCTCCTGGTCTTTTGGCTAACTAAAACCATTACCTTCTGAGGAGTCTCGCTTTATTTCTGCGATCTTTATGTTGGTAGTATAACAAGTCTGGAGGGAAGAGACTCAAAATGGCCAGAACTTGCAAGTTTTATTTTCTTTCCCTGGTGTGGGAATCATCCGTTATTTTATTCTGACCTTAGATGTTGCTTTTCATTGTTCACAGAAGGTACAATGCAAGTCATCTGAAAAGATATTGTGCTTCTGTTGAAGGTGAGGTCATCTGCTCCTCCAGGGGAAGAAGAATTATGGCCAGGTCTCTTCATTCTCCGATGGAGCCATAATGAGCTCAAGTGATCCTTGTGGAGGTGCAAAGCTCAGCCTGAAAAAGTCATAAAGGAGGCAGGCTGCTATAGTAAACCTTAAGAGGAAGAATTGACCTTCTTTTCAGTTGAGAAGAGGAAAGAGGCCTCTGGGGCTGGGCTAGGAGAAATTATCTTAGTTTAGTAGTTCCTGTGGTCAAAAAGTAAAGCTTCACGATGATGGTAACTCCCCTGATAATCCGAGAGATCCAGCAAACACAGAGAGGAGGAAACTGAGGCTGTACTATTTTTTTTAAAGCAAACTGGACACGTTATACTGAACTACTCCTTTTGTCAGGCTATGTGCGTGTTTGAAGCCTTGCAATAAAAGGCAGGGAAGCTAGTAAGAAACTAAACTAACAATTAAAAAAATATTCAGACATCCATAGCTGAGTAATTTTATGCCAGTCTTCCCAGTATAGTCAGAAACTAATTATATAAGGTTTTTACAGCAGTAGTAATTAAGAACTTGGACAGAGAGGTGGTGTTAACATTGGCAGTATTTAGGTCAAGAGAGAATTCAGCTGATATAAATTGAACATAAAATGATTTGGGTCTGACCCTTTATATATTTGGTCATATGAATAATGGCGTTTGAGCAACACCATTAAAGTCAGTAACTTTATTCAAGAATTTTTCAGAATTTTTTGTCTCTTAAGTATGTTGTGGGATTTTTGGCTAAACCCTTTCTACCAAAGAATCCTGAAACAAAAAAGTAAGCATATTCAGGCTTAAAAATGAATCTCCATTAAAAAATATCTATGCTATATCTCACAGCAGGAAGACTTCTACTGCTTTACACTTCTTCTCTTCTGTATCAGCTTTATTAGATCTTATTAAACATTTATCTGCATTGTCACCGGGCCTCTGAGCTCATTGCAAATGGTTTGTAAGCATCCTCAAAGAGAAAAACTTTGAAAAAGGACAGTGAATTAACTTGATAGATATTTATGAGGAACCACTCCCAAACATGAGAGTCAGCATGAAGGAATCTATGAATATACTACTTCAGAAAATGCAGTGGGTTAGTGATGCTTCAGTTGTTGTTCTGGGCTGCACGAAGGCAGACGTTTTAATGGGTGAACACAAAATGAGTGGGAGAGAGGGACATGCCAAGAAAAGTCTTGGAAGCTGTGAAGATGGTTAACACACTTTGGTGGGATGGAGGAGGAGGGGATACAAAAGGTAGAGGATGGGAAGCTAAGCTTTGCAGAAATATTCAGGAAGTAGAGTGTTAGTAGACAGTAATTAATTTGAACCTAGAGTATAACCATGATGAGTCTGTAATGTAACAGTATGTTGATGAACCTCCATGCTAATAAGACGCAGCAAAACATCAAGGAAGGAGAGGGATCTCTTTATCAGTATTGCTGCTCAGAACTAAAATACAAAAGATTTTAACCTAAATGTGTCTATTGCATTATATCTCAGCCCAACGTTCTTAAGAGGCCAGTTTCCCATAGGTGATGGTAGCCATGTTTTTATCCATATTTACCATGAGCTGACCATGAGCGACCCCATGTAAAGAGAAAAGATTTTTCTGTGTAGATGATGCAGACACCTCAAGAACCACAATTAAAAAAAAAAAAAAAAACGTGGAATTGCACTCAAATTTTGCAGCTAGCTTTCTGGTGCAAGAAAGCCTTGCAGGTATATACATAACCGCTGAGCAAGCTCCTGTGTGACAGCTTGTATATCCTGTTGATCAAGTCAAGGACTGCAGCCAGAATAATTGCTTGAAATTTTTGGGATACAAAAGTGCCTGTGAGGAGTGCTGGCCTTGTTCTTTTAAAAGGTTATTCCTAAGGGGCAGATTCGGAATAGTCTTGCAGTATAGCAGATGCACATTTATGGATAAATGTCAAGGGCTAACACTGATTCTCCTGCAGTTTTACCACATCACTGCTTGCAGTGGGCATTATTATATTTTTTAGCTCTAAAAAGTTAATGGAAAAGAGTAGAGCAGGAGGAAGAGAGTGCACAGAAAATGTGAAACCTTCTCAAAAATTATTTCCTATGAAAGAATTTTAATGAGTTTTATGTGATGAATTGTAACAGATAAGCACACCCCACATAACAGACAAACTTTTATAGCTTTTAAATCTCTTAAGGCATGCTTTTTATTGTGTTATATCTGCTGTGTTCCCTTTCCTAATTAAAAGTTGCATCCAAATACCACCTTGTCAGCCTGTTCTTCCTCTTTCTCCATCAAGAATCACAGGTTAATGCACATTTTAAAAACATTTCTTTGGAACTAAGAAGAAAAATAAGAATTTCTTTATTTTTGTCTAATTTTTTTCTTAAAGTTTTACTTATTCTAATAAACTTTTAAAAGACTTGCTCATGTTTTTAGCAGAGTTTTAAGGCTCTTGCTCCAAGCTTTCTGAAGTGTGTATACATACACATGTTCTATTCTTACATGTTTGGAGATTAGTATCATTTATAATATATTTATAATACAGAAAAACTTATGGGAAAGTATTCTGGAAGTATTTTTAGAGTGCAAGTTGGTGCTGACTGAACCATATAATCAGGCATGTTTTAAAATATTGGGAAAATAAGCTGAGTCTGAGATAATCACAATGATGAAAGGGAGATTAAATCATAAATTTATAATGTTAGCCTGAGGACGTTTATTAACCCTACAGAAAAATATATACAGAATGTTTCAGTGTTAAAATGTTTTTCATATTACAGCTAGCTGAGAAGCATTAAGACTTGTGTAGTCCTAAGTCCTTCTCCTTGGACTATAAATTAGTCCAGTACTGAAAATTTACTCACAATTATACGGTGATAGCAGAGCTGCAAATTGCATGTACATGTCTTAAGTAACGACAACTACATCGCTTGTTCATGTAGAATACTGATAACAGAGTCTGGAATTCGACATATTGCACACAGGCAACATGCAGGCTTTCACACACGAAACGCATTTCGTGCCTGACCTACCAATTCAAATAAAGGTTAAAAAGTAATCAAAAGTTCTCAAAGAGACTTGATAAAAGAAAAAGAGATGCTGTGTTTATTAGCAATTTTCTTTCATTTTCTTGTAGATAGGTATCCGCTTCAATCCTAGAGAGAAAATTGCTTATCAGTGCAATATAAAGCTATTGCTGTTAAGTGCAAAATACGTCCATTGCTGTGGGTAAAATAGGTTCAGTGCAATAAAAATATGTTCCTCTTGTTTTATTCAATCTCTCAGCTTATTGGGAGTTTGTTTTCCTCACAGTCTGGGAGTTCTTCATGTTTGCAGCCTGTGTTCTTTTAGCTGACAATTTTTTTCTGGCTGAGTCACACACCTGAAAGTATGGTGTTGCCAAATAAAATGCTTCCCTTGAGAAGTAAGGATACTTTGCTCATGCACTTCTGCTAAAGTCTGTAGAAATCTAGCATCTGGTGACACATTTTCTTTTGTTTATTTTTCCAGGGGAATTCTGGCCTGGGGTTCAGTATTGCTGGAGGAACAGATAACCCACACATTGGGGACGATCCTGGGATATTTATTACGAAGATTATACCAGGAGGAGCTGCAGCAGAGGATGGAAGACTCAGGTAAAAACTAACTCATTATGTATGTTTGGAAATGAAATTCTCCATTATTATAAATTACTTTGCAGCCCTTGGACGTGAACTGAGTCTTTCACATAAACGGGGGAAGTAAATGAGATGACTAGCATCTCCTGTCTGTAGGAGAATGGATTTTAAGTAGTTGAAAACAATTGAGTAAGGTTAGTTAAGCAACTGAATAAGGTGAAGGGCCATTCATAGCCCTATGAAGGGCCATTAGCTAGTGCCACCTCCATCTTCGTACCAGTCATTTCATTTAATACAAGAGGTAAGACGGGGACATAACGATGAAGCGGGCATATCAGCATGAAAGCCTTCTGTGCTTGATCATTATATGTTTATGGCCAAGGGACCACGCCTGGAGTTACATATTAGGGCTACCTAGACTGACTACAGAGCCACTCCTAAATAACCATAGTTCTCCATGCCCACAGGTTATGTAGACCCACCATGATGGTTTTGACAGTGGGGGGAGAGGTATGTTATCCGCTGTTTCCAACTGGCTTATTTTGTTCAGTGAGGATTTGACTGCTAGGCTCTATATCTTGAGAACAGTCCATTGCTGTAGGTCACACAGTGTCATTTGGAAGTTGTAGTTCTCGAATACATGATAGCATATCTCAAGTAAGAGGTATTACAGAAGTATTTGTGCTTCCCTTTCATTATGGACTGAATTCAGGAAGGTTTCCGTCTATCATGGAGGCTGCCACCCATCTGCCTGTCATGAAGACTTCTGAGGCTCCAAAAAGAAAATTTAGCTAAAAAAACTTTGGCTAAAATTCTGAAGCTTTCATGATCTCAACACTGGAATCTGAGCTCTTTGCCAAATACAGATGGTTTAAAAATCATGAAATGTGACCAGATGGTGACAGGAACGTTTTTGCCAAAAGTTTGTCCCTTAATTCAAAGTTAAAAGTATGGGGAGTTTGCCAGTTTTTAGAGCACATTCAGGATATTTTTTACATTAGGTTAGCAACTGAGGAGGGTTTTTTTTTGGAAATGATTGTTATTTTTGTTGTGATGGTGATGAATAATCACGGTGGATGACAGTCCACAGTCTTTAGGCATGGTCAGTGCCTGAAGAATTTATGGTCTAAATACAATTGCAGACAAAGGGAGTGGTAATTATCTCATGTAACTTTACGACTAAAATTTAGATATCTATCTCTAAGCTAGTCATCTTAAGGTCCCCTTACAGTCAGTGAAGAAAACCAGGCATTTCTAGATCATGATTCATCTCAATCTAAGGTCAATGTCTAAAATAGAACAGAAGAATCACATCCTAAAGGGCTTACATTTTCAGTGTTGACTCAAATGAAATGGAATTAGGGTGACTAGTGATCTCTACTGTAAATGTCTATGTTTGACCATATGAACTGCATGCAAGGCATTTCTAATGAACAGAACATCAGGAAACAGCAGGATTTGGACAAAATGCTATCAAATTTGACAAGATGAGCAACATAAGGGGGTCTTAAACCTACACCTACTTTACTAAAAATAATAAAGAATTCCCTGCAAAATTTATTAACAATATCTTTATTAATAGAGATTTTAACTACTTTTGAAAGCTCTTATATTTGAAAGCATTAAGAAGACCTGCACTTTTTTTTGTGCTATTTTAATATGATATCAAGTATTTTGTAACATTGCTCTACTAATTAAGTACTTTGAATTTAACTCTTGATAATTTGATAATTACTGTACTGTAAAGGTCTTACAAAGACTTCTAAATTCACAAAAGGTATCATACTAATGCAGTTCATTAATCCATATTAGGAATAGACCTGGCAAACTTTCTGTGTTTTGCAATAAAAGTTTAGGAGTAAAAGTACAGTTATCTTATTATTAAGACTGATATAATGTTCTTAGAGTACAATATTTGTTAGCACATTTTGAAATGCAATGTTATAATTCAAATTTAACCACAATAGTGAAAATAATTGATAAAGATACATTTCGTATGGGTTTTTTTGCCCTATTCATTTGTAAACATAACTTGTCTATACTGAATTTCTCTGTTATTAATACTGAATATCTGGATGAAATTGTTTAAAATTCAGTCTGCAGAACTTTTTTACTTCAGATAAAACTGCAAGCCCCTCAAAATGTCTCTTTGAAAACTGCCATTCAAATGGATTGACTTAATCCTGTAGGGTCTACACAGGAATAAATAATGGGAAAATCTCAAATTTTTAGCTAAATATGACATGATAGGAATTGTTATACAGAGTATATGGAGTTTCCATGCTCAAAGGATGTTTTTTTTCCTGCCTTAGATTCCCACAAGCTGTTCTAAAATTTTATAACACATGAGAATTTGTACTTACCTACCTTTCTTACTCTTACAGCCAACCACAAGCTGTATATTTATGTTATGCTATATTGTTATAGAACATTTTTGGATTTTTCAGTATTTCATAGTGAAAGGACAGAACTTACTCACAGATCTTGCTGTCATTTTTCCATAGTGAAAAAGGCTATGTGATTGCACGTTTGTAAGGTTTTGGATGGCAAAATTTTATTTTATTTCACAATATTTTTACTAGTTGAAGATGACCCTTTCCTTCTTTTCTCTGCTAAGTGAGTTCCTCTCTGCTACAATGCTAGCAAAGACACAGAACTGGTCATGTTTTAGGAACGCTTAAGAATGTATTTATCAGTGGTCATTACTGACACGCCACTGACAAGAAGAGCTATCCTGGAGCAGTCTCCCCTGACTTACATGATAATAAATTTTACATAACAGTGTGTTTATCAGCTGGGGCCACTCTGTAGGAACAAAAGCTCAACAACATGCAGTAGCAAACGGTAAGAATGGCTATAACCCACGTTCCTAGCAGAAGCCCAATTTTAAATTCATTGGGAGTAGAAATAGGTCTTTATGGACAGGAAAAACATATGCCTTTTGGTGCTCATTTTTACCTCAGACTCTGCCTGCAGGTACTTTATATTAAATAGCAATGTGGACTCTCTGAATTGGGTTCTAAATTTATGATCTGTTCCTAAATCATAAAAGCCTGTAAAATTACTTTTACTGCATTTTACGTGAAGTGCCTTTGATCTAACTGAGCTTATTGAAGTTCCTCAAATAGTAAGACGGTGAAAGTGACCTGCAAGAATGGACTTAATGTTACAAACTCTTGCCAATCTTTTACGTGGCTATATGGGCTAAGAAGCAGAGGGGTAGGCCAATAGGAGCTTCATAAAAGTCTAATACGAGCAAGTGCAAAGTCCTGCACCTGGGATGGAGTAACCCTCTGCAGTAGTTGAGGCTGGGCACTTGCCTGCCTGGCTGGAAAGTAGCTTTGCAGAGAAGATCTGGGTTCCTGGAGGACAACTTGCACATGTGTCAGCAGCAGCAGCTTGCAGCAATGCTTGCAGCAATGAAGGCCAGCACATGGAGGTCTGCATCAGTAGCAGCATAGCCCACAGGACAGAGAAAGAGATTATTCCCCTCTATTCAGCACTAGTAAGCCCATACCTAGAACAGTGAGTCAGGGTTGGGGTTCCCCGGTGCTAGAGGGAGATCAACAAAGTGAGGCAAGCCCAGCTGAGGGCAGCTAAGATGGTCAAAGGTCTGGGGCACATGATGCATGAGGAGGGGCTGGTTTGTTCAGCCTGGAGAAAAGACTGTTGGGGGTTATCTAATTGCAATCTTCCATGACCTCAGAGGAGAGATGGAGCTCAGCTCTTCTTAGAGGTGCATAGAGAAAGGTCTAGAGGCAACTGTCATGAGAGTTTCAACAAGGGAAATTCCAATTGAGTCTAAGTGAAAAAAAAAAACATATTTGTAATGAGGATAGTCAGGCAGTGTCACTGGTGCCTCAGTGAGGGTGTGGGATTTCCGTCTTTGGACGTTTTCAAAGCTCGCCTGGAGGAATCCCTGAGCAACCTGATGTAACTTTGAAGGTGGCCCTGCTTTGAGTAGGAGGTTGGATTAGATGACCTCCAGAGGTCCCTTCCGAACTGAATTATTCTCTGATTCTATGGATTAGGCTTTATATATAAAAACTGTTTATGAGGTTACAACAAAGGTTTTTTTTTCTTTCTCCTTTAGGGGAGCATAATGCTTTTACTGACAATAGATATAATGCCTAGTTTGGGTTTGTTTGTTTGTTTGATCACTTCATGGCCCATATTTCTACAGCAATACTTAAAAAATAGGAAAACTTATCAGCTACTTCAGACTGTATTAGTTTTAATAACACAGTCCTATTTCTGTAATGCCTTCGTGAACTTTCAAATATTTAATAACAAATATTCTTGCATAATTCCCTCTTTAAAATGAATCCATTTCTAAAACTAGTATAGTAACTGATACACTGCACAATTCTGATTTTAGAGTACATTTTAGGTAGGTACATTGACGCAGACTCCTAAGCTTAAAAAATATAGAAAGCTGTGGAATCTTTTATGATGTCTGTATATCATAGAGAAAAACCCACTTTTCTGGTTTCTTTTGGTAGATAACGTTGTGGAATACAAAATAATTAATTTTGGATTTGATTGCTTTCATAAATGTGAATCTAATAAGCTTGGGACTGAGTGAAAATTAGCTTTTGCTGAATGCTGCATACCATGTTACTTTGAAGCTTTGAGTTTCAAGTCAGTGACAGACAGAGAATATAAAACTTCCAGAAGTAGCAACCATTCCCACTGAGTTGAAGGACAGTTTCCCTCAACCATTTGATCTTTTAAGACTTTTGATGCTTAAAAATCTCTGCTTCTATCTCATAAATGTCAGTTGTCCATATGCAAGCATCTGGACATTCTTTAATAAAGAAGCTCTGAATTTAGAGTTCTTTTTCTATTTGGAAGACAGAGAATTCCAGTCATATATGTCTCAGGGCCTTTTTCTATTTTATTTGAGTTTATATCAGAGAAAAAAATACAGTAGTTGACTCAATTGCCTAGGTAAAGCAAGGAATTCCAGTCTATCATCTCAGCAGTTCCTTCTATTGACACTTATTGATCATAAGTGA